TATTTTAAAAAAACAAAAAAAAAACAGACTATAACTTTTCCCACGAATTTGCATCGCTATTGTGCCTCAAACATATTGGATTCCATCAGAGTAAAATAGATTTGATTTTGTTCCATCTTATCACAGCTTGCTGTCCCAAAAAACTCTTGAATATTATATTTTTATTCTCCTATGCAAACTTTAAACGAACGTCTGTGTCTGGAATTTAGTAGGTAGCCATTTTTATTTTTATTTTTTTTTTGCACGGTTGTCCGCAAAGTAATTTCATTTTTTTCAGGGTACGTTTGGTTGTCGTCATCGAAACTTTCGCATCGCTCTTTTTTACCTCATTAGTAAGATGTACAACCGACTTTCTAGGGTTTTTATAGAATGATTTCCTAAGATAACGAATAGAGCTTGCGGTAAAATTGCCTCGTCGGACTGGGCATTTCTGTAACTTTTCAACTTTTCCATTTTCTCCAATTCTGGTAAATATATATATATATATATATATATATATATATATATATATACGTTTAACTTCTGTCTCGTCGCTCTTAGGCCATTTGATTCGTTCATTGATTTGCTTTTTACGATTTTAACAACCATTTGAGAGTTATTTAAAACCAGAAAAAAATATTTCTGGATTTTAAGAAGAATCTTTTGGAGAAAATAACGATACAGGTAATACGATTTAACCCATAGCTGGGGAGAAGAGCTGGATTCATACATTTCCAAATGGTACTTACTCGGTTCTCCGACTTCCAATTCCGAGTCGTTATCCATTACACCACCCGCACACCGATGCTTACAGCACCGCCCATTCCTAAGAGGTCACCCATCCAGGTACTGACCAGGCTTGACGTAAATTAATCAAGATTTATCGGACGAGTGTTTCAACGTGTTATGGCCATAAGCCTCTATTTTTGGTTGCCATTCATCCATTTCTACAGTAAAATGATAAGCTATAGCACGATAGATAGATAGATAGATAGAGAGAGAGAGAGAGAGATAGGAAAATACTGGGATAGATAGATAGATAGATAGATAGATAGATAGATAGATATGGATAGACTGAGATAGATAGAGAGATAGATTGATAGATAGAGACTTACATAGATAGATAGATCTGAATAGACTGAGATAGATATGAGTAGACTGAGATAGATAGATAGATAGATAGATAGATAGATAGATAGATAGATAGATATGAAGAGAAAGAGGGAGATATATTTAAAGAAACTCAAATAGATAGATAGATAGATAGATAGATAGATAGATAGATAGATAGATAGATTTAAAGAAACTTAAATAGAGTTGAAGTTACTCAGATTTGACAGATAGATAGATAGATGAACAGAATGAGATTGATAAATAGATAGGTAGATAGATAAAAAAACTCAAACAGATAGATAGATAGATATTAACAAAATGGCATAGATAGATAGATAGATAGATAGATAGATAGATAGATTTAAAGAAACTTAAATAGATAGAGTTGAAGTTATTCAGATTTGACAGATAGATAGATAGATAGATAGATGAACAGAATGAGATTGATATATAGATAGGTAGATAGATAAAGAAACTCAAACAGATAGATAGATAGATAGATATGAAGAGAAAGAGGGAGATAGATTTAAAGAAACTGAGATAGATAGATAGATAGATAGATAGATGAACAGAATGAGATTGATATTTAGATAGGTAGATAAAGAAACTCAAACAGATAGATAGATAGATAGATAGATATGAAGAGAAAGAGGGAGATAGATTTAAAGAAACTGAGATAGATAGATAGATTGATAGATAGATAGATAGATAGATGAACAGAATGAGATTGATAAATAGATAGGTAGATAAAGAAACTCAGATAGATAGATAGATAGATAGATAGATAGATAGACAGACTGAAAGTGTATGAACAAATTGATGATGAAACTTTTGCCATAAAGGAAAAAAAAACAACTGGAAGTTGTGGAGAGACATAATTTCTTATCTCCTAGTGGCAGAAAATCCTTTTAGGTCTGGTTATTTATTCGGCTTTCACTCTTTTCTCGTTTTTATTGTTGTTGTCCTGAAATGGCCACCTACTTTTACATTTGAATAACTGGATGACTTATCCCGCCAGTTTTCTCTTGTGACAATCAAGGGTAATGAAGTAGCCAATCATCTTGCTAACAGAAATTACTTCATCAGCCAATCACGAGAAAGTTATTATATCATCTCCGGATGACTTGTCGTGTATGGCAGATACTGGTCACCTGCTTGACTCTTAATTTGTCTAATGGTTTCCAGTGGTTAACGAGGAATATCGTAGAATTCATTCTGTTTAATTAACAGTCGAACAAATAAATCTTTCCCACTGTCTCTCTCCAGAATCTTCAACTTATCTTTAGAACTTAACATAATTAACTCTATCTTTCTCCTCGGCGTTCTTGTCGTCCTCAGTAATAACGTTAACTGAAATGTGTCAATTCTTAATGAGGCTATTGTTTGAAAAGTTTCAGTTCTTCCTCGGAATTCTAGTCGTTGACGTAAGAGTCTTCGGAACCATTCCAAGCCTCCATCGAAATTTGGTAACAATAGCAGCTTTCGTAAATTTTTTTTGGTTCCAAAATGTTTTATGAAAGTAACTGACTTTTATCCAATTTTTATTTACAGATTTAACTTATCTCTGAAGCTTACGGCCATATCACGCTGAAACACCACTTCCCGTACGACCACCGAAATTAAGCAACGTCGAGCCTAGTCAGTACCAAGATGGGTGACCACTTCGGAACACCAGGTGCTTGGACATGCATGTGGCGTCATGGATAATGTCTTGGATTTGTCAATTGGAGAGCCGAGTTCCAATTCCATTTAGTTCGTTATATTCTCTTAAACGCAAATGGTATGATTCCACATCTTCTCCCTCCAGCTATGGGTTAATTAGTAAAACTTATATTACCAAATCATTATTATTCCCCACAAATATAATTCTTAAAATGCAAAAATATTTTCTGGTTTTAAATAACCTGCAAAGGGTTGATAATCCGTTTAAAAACGAATAAATCAATCCATGCTTATCTCTGGGGACAACTCTTAGAAATTCTCTGTATGTCTGAAACTAGGGTGAGTAACAAACCTTAACTAATTTTAAATTATAAATTAGGATATTGTTTTTGCTGTTTAATACAACGTTACATACACGAGCTGGTCTGTTTAATGTTTAAAATAATTGTTATAGAACGAAATTGATGGATTTGTATTTTTACGGCTTATCAACCCGTTGCTTGTTATCGAATGCCAGAAAATATTTTTATATTGTAAGAATACGAGTGGGGGGATAAGAAGGATTTAGTGATACAAGTATTACTAATTAACCCATAGATGGGGGAGAAGTGAATATAACGAAACCGATTCTAAATTCCGATCTGTTGTTACACCACGCGCATCAAAGTTTTCAGCACTAGGCATTCACAAGCGGTCACCCATCTATGTATTGACCTGGCTCGACGTTGCTTAACTTAGGCGTTCGATCGAAAAGCGGTGTTTCTGTGTTATAGGACAAAAATAGCAATTAATTAGCAATGAGTTAGAAAAAATTAATTTAAACGTCTGTTAAGAGGCTTGAGATCCTAAGACCCTGCTAGGTTATGTAGAACAACGGAGAACCATTGTCAGTGCCTTCCTGTTTTCATTATTGAGAAGGAAGTTTCCTTTGCGAAATATCTTATATGTGCGCTGTATACAACCACTTTCTCAAATCATTCGTCAAAAATGACCCTTTATTTCGCTCGGTGGGATAGACTGTTCTAGTTCCACGTGTCATGCCTCATGGATGTCAGTTATCAGTTATCTCCTGTTAATTCCTCTCTCCAAGTTCTCCACCGCCTTAACCAAGTATTCAACTCATATTCTTTGGGTCCATGGCACAGTGAATAAAGGCATTGGTTAGATCCAGTGACAGAACCCAAAGTGTGTGAGTTCAATACCCGGTTAAGGCAGTGGAGAACTTGGAGAGGGGAATTAACAGGAGATAATTGATAACTGAATCCATTAGACATTGCACGTGGAACTAGAACAGTCTACCCCAGTGAGCGGAATAAAGGGTTCAGTTTGACATTCCAACCACCTGAAGAAGGCCGGAGCGTAGAACAGCCAAAACTTTGTAATAAATATAGCGACAAACATGAGGACAATAGTCTGAATAATGTAAATAGTTTACAATTTTCCTGAAAAAAAAGTTTTAAGTGGGAGATTCTATAAGTTTCAAATGATAGTGGCTCTGGCTGCTTGAACTATGAATATTTCCTTATAAGGAAATGGCTAATATTAACATTACTATTGCTCACCGATTATAAGGTCGAAGAGCCACTCAAGGCAGAGGGTTATTAAAAGAAATAGCTGTAAGGTTGTACAAACAGATAGTAAGAAGTACCTATTATGTGGATTTTCGGGATAGGTAATGGTTGATCGTAGATTTGAAGAGGTTAATATTATAGTAATCGAGGATGATGGAAAAATATTGTTTGTTTAAAGAAAAATGAAATATACATAATTATCCTACAAACAACTGGACGAAACAGCAAAGCGGGATCTCTTTGTGGCTGTCTTTAACTTTAATATATTTTAATTTAAAAATATTGTCTGTTTGAAGAAAATTAAAATAAAATACTTGCTGTATAAACCACTCGTATTTTAAAATCTTTTTCACTTAAAATATTTTTAAATCAAATTAATTTAAATCCTTATGTGTCGGACGTACCACACAAGCGCACAAGCAAGCAATCCCAGATTTTAGTATTATATAGATTTCAGTCGCTGTAAACACTCTTGTTAGTCCTCGATTGAGCTCTAAAGAGTGAGGAAGGAAAATAAGTCAGAATTTTTTCCTTTTGATTTATAGTCTACAACAGGGGTCGGTAACCTTTTGCTTACTATTTGCCGACTTAGGCTTTTAAAATCATTCACTGTGCCAAGAACATACGGATTTTTATACAAGTCAATGTAAATATTCCTGTTCTACAATATATTTTATATCGTAATATCTACAATAAGATGTAAACCACATTGATAGAATATATGTTGTTTTTAAAAGTGTTTTTTTTAAATTTTATTATCAATGGGAGTCCAAAGATTGAGCAATTTTGAAACAGCTAAATTTTTTAATATATATATATATATATATATATATATATATATATATATATATATTAAATTTTATAATACAACAATAAATGGCATCCTTCTTTCCGTTTTGGCTTTTCCCCTTACGTTAGATAACGTAGGACACAAATGTGGTCTAGTGGCAGGCGTCGGCAAACTTTTTGCTAACTATTTGCCGATTTAGGGTTTTAAAATCATGCAATGTGCCAACAGCATATGTATTTTTATCCAAGTAAAGGTCAATATACCTGTTCTACAATATATCTTATATAGTAATATATAGTATATATACTTTAGTATATATTAAAACTAAAACAGCGAAATATCTTCTTTGCGTTGTAGTTATTGATTCAGACTTCGTGATGTCATTTGCGGTTGCGTGCCATTGGAAATTGCATGGAAAAGTCATAATAAAAATACTTACTATATAAACAACTCGTATTTTTAAATCTTATTCACTTAAAAATATTTTAAAATCAGATTAATTTAAATCATTATGTGCCGGACGCATCACACAAGCGTACAACAAGCAATCCCAGATTTTTAGTATCATATAGATTTCAGTCACTGTGAACACTCTTTTTTGTCCTCGATTGAGCTCTAAAGAGTGAGAAACAAAAACCGATCAGCATTTTTTTTTCCTTTTGATTTATCGTCAACAGAAGGAGTCGGTAACCTTTTGCAGACTATATGACGACTTAGGATTTTAAAAATCATTCAGTGTGCAAACAATAAATGGCATCCTTCGTTCCGTTTTTGCTTTTCCCCTGACGTTAGATAACATTGAATACAATTGTGGTGTAGTGGCAGGGGTCGGTGCCGACTTAGAGTTAAAATCGTTCATTGTGCCAGCAGCATACGTATTTTTATACAAGTCAAGGTCAATATACCTTTTCTACAATATATTTAATATAGTAATATATAGTATATATATACTTTAGTAAGAAATGGATAAAGGTCGACAATTTATTTATTAAAGGCATTTTTATGTTTAACGTTGACATTTACGCTGACGTGTCTTACCGTCTCGGCCACAAAGGAGCGTTCGGTAGGCAAGGTCGAATTTACTGCTCATTGCCTACCGAACGCTTTGTGGCCGAGTCGGTTAAGGCACGTCAGCGTAAGTGACGGTTCCGTATAGGATGCAGGTTCGAATCCTGTCAAAGGATGAATATTTTCTATGAAAATTTCTCGGACATTCAGGCCGGTAAATGTTATTTAATACTGTTTATTATAAACAGAGCATTTACTTAAATACTTGTATCTATAAAAAGAATGTTAAACATAAAAATGTCTTTAATATATATATATATTAAAATTGAAACAGCTAAATATCTTCTTTGCTTTGTAATAGTTGTTGGTTCGGACTTCGTGATGTCATTTGCGGCTGCGTGCCATTGGAAAAGTTAAAATAAAAAAAATACTTACTATATAAACAACTCGTATTTTTAAATCTTATTCACTTAAAATATATATATTTTTAAATCAGATTAACTTTTTTTTTTAAGCGTTTCACCCCAAGCAAGGCGGGAAGCCACTAGGACGCAAGGGGTTACAGAAGATTTGGAGCAAGATCAGATAGGAGTGATAGAGGAAAGGATGAGGAGAAGGATAGTGGATAGATCAAGGCAACTGGAGATGTCGATTGACATTACATTTGAATAGTTGGAGATTGTAGCTATCAGGGAAAGTGAAATAGGGTAGGGAGTTCCACATGCGAGAGGTGCGAGATATGAAGTTATTGGAGTAGAAGAGACGGCTACATTTAGGAGTTTCAACAGTGAATGGGCGAGAGCGGTATGCCAGCCTCGTAAGGCGCTTGAATTCATGAAGTCTGGGAACCAGCAAATGCACCTCCTCGGAGCAATTGCCATGAAAGTATTTGTAAAAAAGACAGAGAGATGCGACGGCGCGTCTGTGAGAAAGTGACTGTAGACGAGATGCCAGAACAGGGCCAATTATATTGCATATCCGCCTCTGGAGCCTATCAAGAACCCCGAGGCAAACAGAAGGGCACCAGACCATATATGGCAGCATAACTCCAAAATCAATTATTTGCCAGACGCACCACACCTGCGCAGAAGTAATCACAAACTTTTGGTATTATTAGGCTGGTGCAAAAATAATGACGTAATAATGTCGTTTTATTACGTATTTTTTAACGTCAAAAAACGACATTCTTACGTCATTATTTTTGCACCAACCTAATATATAGATAAATAACACGCAAATCTACAATTATGTAATATAAAAACGCTTTCCGAAAAGGAAAAAGATATAATTACTAACGTTTCGCGAGACATGGTGACTTGGAGAATTTACGGTACATACAAAAAAAAAAAAAACGGAGACAACTGCAGCAGGAATTTCCATTTGGATTATAATGTGTGACGTTTTCCTGCCAGTTTTATCACATGACAAGTGTAATGAAGTAATTATTCATCTTGCTAATAACTTACATCAACAGCCAATCGATAGACAGTGTTCATATTTATGGATGATTTGTCATATATGCCAAGTGCTGGTCACCTTGTAGCCTCGTGATCTGTCGAATACTTTGAAGTGATCAACGACGGGGTTTGCAATTCGATTTAATTAACGCATCAACAAATAAATATTTCTCGCTCCAGAATTCTTAAAATGAATCGCTACAACCTGACATCATTGACTCTAACGTTTCGACTCGGGGTTATTAGTGACGTCAGAAAGAATGGTAACTGAAATATGTCTATGCTTAATGAGGCTTATTCTTTGAAAAATGTCGATTCTTTGTCGGATTTTCAGTCCTTGCAGACATCGAGTAAGAGTCTTCCAAAACTCCATCGACAATAGCCACATTTGTTTTTGACTTTTTTTAAAACGTTTTTTTGAAAGTCACTGATTTTTTATCAAAATGTTATTTACAGATTTAATCTGGAACATCGAAATATAGGTACAGTAGAATCCCTTATAACCGGAATCCCAAATATCCGGAATCCCGCATATCCGGACATAATTTTGATGTGTATATTTGAACTATTTGGGTGATATGTAACTGATTTAAAATTTCTTTTTCAGGAAATTTACTTTGTATAATTGCTTATGTTTATTTCGCCCTAATGGCTTGTATTGGTGCAAAAGATGATGGGAATAAGAGGAAAAGAACAACTTTGGAGTTATCGCAAAAAGTGGAAATTTTAAACAGACTAGATGTTGGCGAAAGTTCATTGTAACTAATGGCTGAGTTCAACATAGGAAAATCAACATTTTATGATATAAAATCTTCCAAAGAAACTATTTTCCAGCATTCAAACTGTCACAATGACCACGGAAATAAAAACATGATTTTGATGAAACCTGGACTGAAATTGAAAAAGCTATTGAAAATGTTGTCAGTTTTATGGAAAGAAAGCCAGCATTCAGCTATGACGATTGCAATAACGCATGTAGAATTAAAATGTGTCTTTTGTTTAAATAAATTCAAGAACAAAAGCAAAACGAAATGCGGAAAAAGTTGAGAATGACATTAGAAGAAAAAGAATCATCATGCAACAGGGATTAAAAAATCCTCGTTACATTATTTGTTTTGCATACGTGGCATACTTAATTTAATGAATTTTCATTAACATTACACAATTTATTTGTTTTTTCCTTAAAATTAGTTCCGTTATATTTCACTCACCATTAGCTTATTTTGTTTACTATAAAACATTGAAAATAAATGTTAAACTTGATTTCAGTTCTTTTATTTTAATCTAAATATAACCCCTCATATCCGGACTTTGTAACCAATTCTTCATATCCGGAATCATTCAAATCCGGACTTTGTAACCAATTCCTCAAATCCGGAAGGCCTTCTTCGTTCGGTTGTCAAGGATTCTAAGGTATTTAAAATTAAAACAATCCCTTCTTATCTGTAGGGAACATATTCTAAGAAACCCTGCGTATGTCTAAAATTACGGAGAGTGACTTACCTTAGCGAATTTTAAATCATTAGAATGTTTTTCAATTCGGTGACGTGTGTTGAAAAGCTCAAAGTATTTCGTATTGTTGATGTTATTGCTAGCATTTTTGTCGAGATTTACAAACTCTACGTTTCGGACAATTTCGCAAAACAACACATGAAATTTGAAGAAGCTGAATTATTTAGAAAAATACTTTAGCAAAATCCCCACTTCGTCTTTTAATAATTTCTTTAATTTAATTCAATTTTATAGTAAACAACATTTTTAAAGAAAATTTCTTTTCTTCCTTTTTAACAGCGAAGAAAAAAATTCCTAGGATTTCTTACTCTTGAGCTTTCAACATTCAACTGGCCATATGTAAATATTTATTTCTGGAGCTAAATTCCAACTTTTTGAAGCGTTTGGGTTCGTGATTTGTTTAAAGTTCTCGCAGACGCTGGACAAACTGTATTCTTGTATATCTAAAAACTTAAAGAAAAGATATGGGAAAAAAAAAACAATATTGCATTTTAAAGTTAGGATACTTGTCTCCGTTGGTAGTCGTATAATTAAAAGAAGAAAAAAACTTGTATTTCCAACGAATGGTTTATTTTTATTGAAGTATTTCGACTAGCAGTTACCAGTCTTGGTCACTCCTTACGTAATAGCAAGTTGAGGCGTAAAAAAAAAAGGATTTTTGCTTTTTACTTTTTATAAATTGCCTTTTTTTGTCATATATTTTTCTTTGGAGCAAAGATGTCCAGACAGGATGGAGTTGTCCGGCATCTATCCTATTGCAGGCATTTTTTGTAGTTGCTATTACCGTTTATTCAGCTAATCTTCTTTGATTGAAATGCTTTTGATTCGTCATTTTATTTCCTGATGGTCGAAGTCAATTCTGTGACCTTCTGTAATGGCATGTAATGCAATCGCTTGAAGTTTTTTCCAATTTTTGTTTTTCGTTATCATTTAAAATGACCTTATCACAAAGTCTTCAATCTTCATCCAGTCGTTCTTTCAATGATCTTGTAGTCATGCCCACATAACTTGTTGAGCAGTTCATACAGTTAATTTTCTAGATCAGATTGCCATTACTTGTAAACTGCTCTTTCATCTTTTAATCTGATGAGCATCCTTCCTATTGTGTTGAAAGGAGAATACAATTCTTATATCTATCTGTTTTAAAATTCGTTTGAGAGCTTCTGATATGTTTTCTTCATACGGTATGTTCACCGCTAAAACTTTTTTTCAGAACTAGAGTCTATATTTTTCTCAATGGCATTTTTTACGCCTCAACTTGCTATTACTTTGTAAACGTCATCAACTTGGTTTGTTTTCCTTGATTTGAATTCTTGAACTTTTCGAGCTTCTTTGCACTGTTTGTATTCAAATTGAAGAATGGCCAAGACTGGCAACTGCTAGTCGAAATATTTCCATAAAAATAAATCATTGTTTTGGGTTAGTTATATCTTTTGGTTAATTTTTGAGTTTGTTTTTGGGGCCCATCTCCCCTCCTCCATCATTTCACGAGATTTTTATTTATATATATTTATGGACTTTTAAATTTTTATGTCATGGGGTGTTTTTGAAGATTCCCCTGCGAGTATATGGTATTTTGGTCTATGCTGGATTGGAGGTGATTGTGGTAAATGTGTAAATTATAATGAATTCATGGGTCGGGAATCGAATTAACTAGGATTAGGACAGCTAAGGAAGACCAGCCCCTCCCTTTTCTTCCATTCGGCCTTGTGCCACAATTTTGTATTTTCATACGAAGCCTGGCAACTGCTAGTCGAAATATTTCCATACAAATAAATCATTCGTTGGAACTACAAGTATTTTTTTCTTCGGCATTTTTTTTCTTTATCATTTGAAACTACCTCATCACAAAGTCTTCAATGTTCATCCAGTCGTTCTTTCAATGATCTTGTAGTCATGCCCACATAACTTGTTGAGCAGTTCATACAGTTAATTTTCTAGATCAGATTGCCATTACTTGTAACTGCTCTTTCATCTTTTAATCTGATGAGCGTCCTTCCTATTGTGTTGAAAGAGGAGAATACAATTCTTATATTTATCTGTTTTAAAATTCGTTTGAGAGCTTCTGATGTGTTTTCTTCATACAATATGTTCACCGCTAAAACTTTTTTCAGAACTAGAGTCTATATTTTTCTCAATGGCATTTTTTTAAACCTCAACTTGCTATTACGTTGTAAACGTCATCAACTTGGTTTGTTTTCCTTGATTTGAATTCTTAAGCGATTCGAGCTTCGTTGCACTGTTTTTAGGAATCACCAAGATTCGCAACTGCTTGTCGAAATATTTCCATAAAATAAACCATTCGTTGGAACTACAAGTATTTTTTCTTTAAAATATTTCATTTTTATTAAATAAGAGTTTGTTATTTTAATCATTAAAGTGTTTTTTTTTAAATAGTTGGAGGATTCTGTATATTAAATAATAAAACTTTGAATATTTTACCCCAAAAATGAATAAAAATTTATTGTACGAAGCTATACACCCTAGTAAAACAAATTGTATTTTCTGTTCCTCTTACCGGTATGCATTTCTCCCTAAAATGTGGTTTCGATTGATCAATGTGTGGCTATTTTAGAGGGAAGGAGAAACAGACGGACTAACGGAATTCACATAATTTTATATATAGATAAATTAGGGTTTGGTTTTGCTGGCTATCCAAAGTCACATTCAACCCAGCTGGGCTATATTTAACATATAGGGAAAATGCTACAATATATTAACAAAGAAATCATGGCTAAATGTAAGTTCCGTTCTCAGCACAAATCCTAATTACATTAGAAACAGGCAGAATAAGTAAGTTAGAATAAAAAAAAGGTAGACATTGGCTGGATTTATACCTGAGGCTGCTAGTATCCACCTGGAAAGCAGTCCGACTTTATGAAAGCGTCACTGTTATCTCCAGTCGGCGTATGCCAAACTCCACAGAGTTGTAAATTAGGCGATCAAATGAATTAATTTAATATCAAGAAGAGGCACGTTGAAGTTTCTAGGGAACATAATGAGGAAAGAGGGCGTGGAAAATTTGATGCCCACAGGACAGATTGAGAGCAAAAAGGAAAACAACGTATAGCCTACGTGGCAAGCGGATGGTGGAACAAAGTTTAAGAGAGCTAACAAAAAAAAAAATAATGACAAACTTGCTTAAGAGCTACGTATGACAAGGAAATTGTGGCGAGCCGTGATCGTAAACGTCCTGTAGGGACACGGCACATACAAGAAGAAAGAAAGAAAGAATTTACAATAATAAACCAATCTGTCAAATCAACGGGCCTAACTGTAGCGTTCAATTCGGTGTCGGTGTACGGCCATATCATGTTGAAAAATCGGTTCCGGTACGATCGCCGAAGTTAAGCAACATCGAGCCTACTCACTATTAGGATGGGTGACCATTTGGGAATATCAGGTGCTGTAAGCTTGGATGTGCGGGTGGTGTAATGGATAATGACTCAGAATTGATAAGCGAGAGCCGAGGTCCAATTCCATTTGCGTTCGTTATATCGCCTTGGGAATATAACGAATGGATATAACACTCTTGGGAATGGTAAGAGTCCACCTCTTCTGCATACAGCAATGGTTTAATTAGTAAGTAAAACTTGTATCACTAAATCATTAGTATCTAAAAAAAATGTTTTGCAATCTAAAATATATTCAGGCTTTAAATAACCTTCAAAAGGTTCTGTTACATACCGTACCTATGAACACTAATGGATATGTTCCAATCCTCATAAATATGTTGGATAATATTGTAAGTGGGGGGGTAATAAGCTATCTAAGTAGGCTACGATAAGAGTGGTTTACGTACTTCACGGCGCTGGCGAGTATTGTATTTTGTTGATGTTATAAAGATTAGCGTTTCATTTCCAACCTCAGTTTTGGTTATTCCTCATTCAGTAACCCTTTCTAGGTTACAACACTATCACAATCTATCTATCTATCTATCTATCTATCTATCTATCTATCTATCTATCTATCTATCTATCTATTTTCTTCATATCTATCTATCTATCTATCTATCTATCTATCTATCTATTTTCTTCATATCTATCTATCTATCTATCTATCTATCTATCTATCTATCTATCTATCTATCTGTTGTGGTAAGATCCACCTAATTTACATAAGTGGAGTACCGACCATATAAATATGGGTTGGTACCGGGAAGACGATGGAGGAAGTAACAAGAAATCCAATCCAGAGAATCTGCCCGATTGCGATTAAGTCAACCCATTCTACAGGAACAATCTTCCCAAGAATATACCAAAACTAACTGTAAATATTGTGTACCTTTTCCTTGTTTCAATACATTTTGTTTACGTACATTTTGTGTTGTATTATTATTATTCCATGCTTATCCAAGCTTCAACACTATCTATCTATCTATATATCTATTATATACCGTACTTATGAACACTAATGAGTATATCCCAGTCCTCATAAATTCGTTAGATACTATTGTAAGTGGTGGGTAATATGCTGTCTAAGTAACCGACCACTAGCAGTGGTTTACCTACCTCACGGCACTGGCGAGTATTGTATTCTGTTGATATTATAAAGATTACCATTTCATTTCCAACCTCCGTTTTGGTTATTCCTCATTCAGTGACCTTTCCTAGGTTACAACATCTATCTATCTATCTATCTATCTATCTATCTATCTATCTATCTATCTATCTATCTCTTCATTATCTATTGTTATATACCGTACCTATGAACTCTAATGGATATGTTCCAATCCTCATAAATACGTTGGGTACTATTGTAAGTGGGGGTAATAAGCTGTCTAAGTAGGCTACGATAAGAGTGGTTTACTTACTTCACGGCGCTGGCGAGTATTGTATTTTGTTGATGTTATAAAGATTACCATTTCATTTCCAACCTCTGTTTGGGTTACTCGTCATTCAGTACAACAGGTTGATAAGCCGAATCAATCAATTTCTTCGCTGTTTTTACTGAAATGTGCCGATACTTAATGAAGCTATTCTTTGAAAAGTTTCGATTCTTTCTCGTATTTCCGGTCCTTGAAGTCTTCTAGTAAGAGTTCTTGGAATTATTCCAAATAGCCAAAGAGACTTGATGACCATAGCTGCCTTCGTATTTTGAATTCTTTTAACATTTTCTTGAAAGTCTTTTATAATATTAATCCAAGTGATATATAAGATACAATCTGGAATCTGTTCCAACCCCAAAATCTTATTATTAAAAAGGTAATCCTTCTTAATAAATGACAGCAAGGTCCAGGAAAATGTTCCAGATAGGTGACCACTTGAGGGCACTGTACTTTATACACTTTTAGACACCTTTAGAAGTATAGACTGTACGCAATGTCTGATAATTTCCGACTGGTTAGTTAATTCAGTGTCTCGTCCTGGGTAAGACGATAAACTACATCCAGCAGCAAGGCCTCTGATCAGGAGGTTTTGAGGAGCGTGGAACCACCTCTTAGTTACTGGTGTTCCCAGGTCTATCCTGACCCGGGGTGGTAGCACCTGTTAGGGTCCCAGCTATGGGCAAATAGTTAACTATTACCAGCAATACATTTTTGAAAAAAAATCATTACCAGCAATACAATTTGGAAGGAAATATATTACCAGACACCAGATCTTTGACAAAACAGAATATTACCAGCAATAAAAAAAAATTGTCGGCATTAATTAACCTGAGGTTGATATGCCGTAAAACTAAATAAACCAAGCCAAACCAAACCAAACTAATTCAGGATCACATCTAAATAAATTGGTGTGTTTCTTATCCCAGGTGTAGCATCCAAGTTGTCGAAATCGTGTAAAAGCAAAATTGGCCAATTGTTATATTAAGCTTTGAACCGTTGTAAGGTAGAACTGATTAAAGATATCTTACTGGAATTCTCTGAGGTTTTTATAACACTATCGGGCTCTACTTTCAGGAGTAAGGATGTATAATTACTCTCCAAGCTTAACTGAAGCATCGTGATGAAATCGATCATAAATGAAAATGACATGGTCATCGTTCATTAATCATAGCTAAGGATCGGAAGCTCAGGAAGGATTGAAATAAACTTCAACTATATATATATATATATATATATTATTCCATGATCATTTTCCAATGATATTCGCTCTCTCTAGCCTTCTGTCATGTAGTGAAAAATAGCCTCGTAACTGACATCCAAAATCCGGCGAAATCCATAAAACTCTATACCAGTCGTCATTCTGTCTCTGTAAATATATATATATATATATATATATATATATATATATATATATATATATATATATATTAAAAAGAAAGAGGTGCCGCAAACGTTTTTGGTTGTAATGTGGATTTATTTAGAAAAAATATTATGCTTTGTTTTACATAATTTTACTACGACACGTGTTTCTGGTCTCGCGACCGTCTTCAGGTAAAAGTGGAGATTTCTACATATTATTAAAAATAATTAATTTTTCTTCATGTTCAATGTGAAATGTTCTCGATATGAGACATTCTCTGTTTGTGTGTTGGCAATCCGAATTTTCTTTCTAGAATTGTGAATTCTTTCTAGAATAAATCCACATTACAACCAAAAACGTTTGCGGCACTCTCTTCTTTTAATATACATACTTTTCTCTCGTTGGAACCACTACAACATATTTCTTTATTTATATATATATATATATATATATATATATATATATATATATATATATAGGCTTTTATAACGCTATTGGGCCCTACGTTGAGCAATAAGAATGTATAATTACTCTCCAAGATAAAGGAAATGGCATGTTCATCACTAATTAATCAAAGGTAAGTACTGGAAGATCATGAAAGATTGCGATAAAGTTCAAATATATATATATATAATTTCAGAATTATTTTCAAACTTATTCAAGATGATCTTCGCCCTCTCTAACTTTCTGTCCTGGGGTAACAAGGTGCTTCACAGTTTTCACGTACGATTTCATTTTCAAGTCTTTTTTCTCTGCTCTCTGGATTGTCATAGCTAAAATTCCTCTCTCGCGTACCAAACGTCTTATGAATTGAGTTGGATCTTTTCTAATTGGTTTCTGTAGCACTAAGTTGAAATGATGATCCCTCTTCCTGTTGTGACCTCCTGATCCAGTTTTCCTCTCTACTGTTCTCTCTTTAAAACTTATTCACCGTTCTCTTGATGGTTCTTAGTAGGAATGTTGGTAGCATTGATGAAATCCTGAATGATCTTTTTCCTCTCACCATTGCTCAGCTGGGAAGACATAGTTTTGGCTGACATAAAACGATATTAACCTGTTCCCTTTTTAGCTGAATAACTCAAAGGTTTCTTTTTACTGATTTTTACGACAAATGGTGTCAAGATGGATAAACGTCTTATCTGGAAACCTGGAAAAAAAAGAAACTGAATTAGTTTAGTGTTTTTTTTTTTTAGATATTAAACATCTTGTAGGATGGACAATTATGCTGTTACAAGATTTGAACAATTTTACTGTTACACCTGGTATATGTCTTTTAGAAAAAAAGCAAAAATAAATATGTCCTTTCTTAGGTGCCATGCGTGATACACGCTTAGGAGATCATGTTTCTTTTTCGATTCATAATTGACTTGGAGGAGGAATTCCTGCAGTAGACTACCGCTCATTTCTGGTTGGCAACCAAGGCTATGAGTTAAGCACTTAAAGACTTAAACAATGAAACAATCTCGCTTTTCTTTAAAGGATACACTCTAAGAAATATAGACAAATTGCAAATAGTACCCAACTAAATACATACTATATTTTTTTATCCTATACATACATATGGTGATTGCCATATTTTACGCAGATGATAGCCTCTGCCTCACCCATTGGATTACTCGTAATATCCGTCCAAAAATGGCATTCCAAATTTCCAGGAATCAGTTCTATAAATGCCTTTAGGAACCTATTCTGCTTATTTTCTTTTCAATCTTAGTATGGAAACAAATCGCTTTATAGCAATGTTTCTCAAAATTTTTCACTTCAGGGAACACTGTTCAAATAACTAAAACTCTGGGGTGAACTTTAAATATTAATAAGGTAAAATTGTTGACGAAATTTGAAAATAGGCAAATAGTAACCAGAAATAAATCTTTATTTTTAAAGACATTACATTGCTTGGTGTCTGTAAGTTTTTAAAAATAAAGATTTCTTTAAATATAATAATATTTCATAAGTTACTCTTATGTCAACTTGGAGCGCACCTGGCTCATCTATAGTTGGAGGCATACGATTGCTTTTAAAATGTATAGATTTCGGCATTAGATAACCAAGAGGCTGAAAGTGATTTTCAAAGCGTAGCTTAGATGTGGCACAAGGCCGAAAGTAGGGGACAGCCAGTGAGGATCGAACTCACCACTGAGTCATGAATGTTCTATCGAGACACGCTTGCTAACCATTACACCGACTCAAGGTGCACAAAAAACGAATTTTTAAGCGTAGCTTAG